GGCTGAAGCCCAAGAAGAACAGTTGTATGTGTTTCAGACTGCTCCAAAGAAAAGGATATATCTATCAGTTTATTGGCTTTCATGCATTTTGGATAGCTGGGGCTAACTGAGTAAGTTAACTTCTATTAACTTTAGTTAAGAAGAATTTAAGACATTCTAGGTCCTTCAGGTATTTTCATATACAGTATTGGCTTTTGTATGTGATAATGTAAAAAATAACCTTTTCCTTCACAGTTGTTCTAGTATTTCAGTGTTTTTTGAATAAAATACATTCAAACAAGTCATAGGCAGAAGTTAATCCATTAGATTTTTTGTTTTCTTGAATAATGGTTTGGGTTTGGGATTTTTTTTGGTCAAGTACAGTTGATACTATAGTTCAGAGTAGACACGTACCTTTCTTGATACATCTACAAATCTCTAGTCACACTTTCCTTTATTTTTTTTCTAGTTGGCTGAACACTAGCTTAGTTTGGAGTCATGTTGCTTGTACAGACCTCAAAACAAGTTTCAGAAATGGCCAAGTATAACATTTTTTTCTAATGTAATGTTCATTTGAGAACTTTGCTGCTGTTGTCTTAAAAATGTGAAGGCAAATATCTTTGACTAGTCATGTGAACTTGAATGTATAATTGTACCTACACTGTTGTTTTATCCAAATTTCTTGATATGTTTTTCTTGCTATCCATAATATGAGGACTGTTTTCTAGTAATACAGACTTTCAGAACCTAAACTAGACTTCTTGATGTTGCTTTATCTAAAAATGCCTTACGTTTCTCTTAAAGACTTGAAAATTTTCAAACAAGTTTTTTTGGAACAACTTAATTATGTGGGTGGCTCTTAAAATAACTTTCCATTCTATTGCACATGTGTTTTGTCTTGCATTATATTGTACAATTACAGTGTTCCATTAATTTAAAAGGAATAATGTCTGTGATCAGAAGCCCTTTGCAGACAGTCTGCACTGATTTAGGAGCTGATTCAGTGCTTCCAAGACTTTTGTTAGTCAAAATTAATTTGTAACTGTGAGTGAAATACCAGTGTCAATGGAACTATTTCATGAAAAAAAACCTGGAGAAGACTTAGAGATCAAAGATATAATTAAGTTATCTTCTGTTGGGGGCTTGGACATGTTGAGGATTGGGAAGGTCTGACTGGACTACCACACAAAAAACCAAATCTCTGGGAATGGCTATTAACCCTTTGGGGCCAGGTATAATCTGATATAGGAAGGCAAAGTAGTCTCAGCTGTGAATTTTGGGTTAAATACCGTTCTTGTAATGTCTTTAAACACAAGCTTGTTCTTTATTAGTTGCTAGAAATCATGCTCTTGTTTTGATATGTACCCTCTGGTGCTTTTGTATTGTGTCAGTGGTACCCATCCATTAAAACTGGGGCTGTTTTCATTGTCAGATAAGTACTGGGGGCATTGTGCCAAGTACCACTTTAATGTAGGCTATGCTTAAAGCCAGCAGTTCCTGTGACATTCTCCCTCAGTAATGTGCACTCCTTGGAAAAGGTGAGTTGCAGGATAGTTTCTAGTTCTTGTCTGGCATGTAACCTGGTGGTGCCATGCTATGCTCTTTGCCTTTTCTTGAAAGGGCAGTAGCAGCTACCGTCTGCTATGGCTTGCTGGCTGGCATGTGTCATGCTTTGTGGCAGTGCCTACTGCAGGTGGCAAGCTCTTGGTTGATGGATGCCTCTCTTTGTGGAGTACCATCAGTCATGGAATTTCTTGGATTTCATCTTTGTTTAGCATCAATAGTAATATAAATACATTATTCTGTGAAAAGGCACAATGCCAAGTGGATGATTTTTGTTCATAACCATAGCTTGTGAAATATGCTTATGTGCACTCATGGTAGTTACTACCTAGGTTTGTTTTTAAAAGTGAGTTAATTTCCTTTAGGATTTCTTTCGTATTTAATAATTGTTATGTAGTGTATATCTATTCTTATTTTGGTAGTATCTGGTAGCATTAGTGAATAGGAACGGCTTAATTGTCTCATAAATAGTATTTCCCAACAAAATAAAGAAGTGTCTTCAACAAAAGAAAGCATCTCTTCTTCTTTGTTCAAAGAAATCCTTGAAGTGGTTATTTCCACATAAAATTGCCAACTTCCTTAATTTCCAGGAATCCTAGATCCTATTGATAGAAGAAATTGTTTGGTTTGTGTTTCGTTTATTTATAATTATTCTTTTGTGCTTACTGTCACTGCTGAGTAGATTAAAAATCCTTATTGCCTAGTCTTAAAGCATAAAGTCTGATCCTGACTTACACTGAAGCCTTTTTATGTTTCAGTGCAAACAATTCTCCTTTTTTTACTGTCTTGAACTATTAATAAAAAAGACCTTATTATGAATAAATATTTGCTACTATTTTTTGAAAGGCATGACTATTTTTGGTGAGGGTTGTTTTTTGGGGTTTTTTTGGTTTTGTTTTGTTTGGTTTAGTTCTTCTGTTTTTTTTCTTCTACTGATGGCAAAGTTGCCTCTCTCACTTTGTAGTAAAAGTGACCCAGGCCTACCCTGGTGGTCTAAGCCCCATTGTTTCAGGCACACTGTAAATCTGAAGCTTAACTTTTTTGGTTTCTTTCCCAAAGAGCTGACTGCTTTCTTGAGAACGTTATGAGTACTTCCAAGAACAGAGTTGATGCATACTGTCCCGTGTGAAAGAAGTGACTGGATTACATAAATTGGTATTCCTAGTCTGCCAAAGAGTGAATACCTTCCCTCATTCCTGCTGTCATGTCTATACAGCCTTCATTGGCTGGCAGCAGAGGAGGCTGAAGTTTGGCTCTTGTAGGCCCTGGAAACATGCTGTGTGTGCATTAATATTTCTGTTAAAAAATACCTGACAAAATATTTGTGAGAGAAAGTTAAATATACTTCATGTACACAGTAACTAATATGTAAAGTATGAGTTACTTAAATTCCAGTATGTTTCTAGCTTGTGGATGTTTTTAGTGGTTATTAAAAAAACAGAGAATAAAAAACCCAAACTGAAAACAGCTTCCCCTCCTCAGACATTCTAAGGCGTACCCAGTTTGCATCTGACATTCCAAACTCATTGAATGTACATAGTATCAAAGAGGTGTTCAGCCAGGAGGTGCACTATTTTCTTTTTTCCTTTTAGAAGAAGATCTACTCTAGGGACCTATGCTAATCTCATTCAGTGTCTTATAAAAAAGAAATATCTGCATGCCTTGGTGGCAGATGGTGATGTTATGGGTTTCTTCCTTAGCATGTTAAAAACTTGAGCAGTGCTGCTGTGTCACAGAAACTTGGCATTTGGTGTTTTTTGGCATGTGGTTTCTGCTGTTAACTGAAGAAATGCTTTTGTAGGTAGACCTCTGTGTACGGTTACTTTTACTAGGGTAACTAAGGTAAGTACTTTGCTGTAACAATTTTTGGAACAGGAGACCACTTTTAGGTCAGTTGTCTTTGTCCCAGAAACCACCTTTACCTTTTTATTTCTCATGGTGCAAGTGACTAACGCTGCCCCCCATACAATTCCCCTCTCTTGCTTCACATGTTTTTCCACTTGCCTGGCAGAGCTAAGGCTGACAATCGGCATGCCCCTCTCTAGAATTTGTTTTGCTCTGATTCAGCCTTCATTAAGCCACTGTTCAGAGCTTAACAACTTGATTGAATCAATAACCTAAGCTACAAACATAATCAGCTATGCCAGGTATGCATACTACTATGCATTCTACTTTCCTTTTTTTTACAATATCATCTTTATGGTCTCTGCACAGGGTGTAGCCTGACTCCCCATCACAGGTGTGAAGTACTACTCAGTGTGCTTTGAGGATTTTTCTTTCTTTTTTTTTTTTTTTTTTNCTCAAGCTTGTTGTAAGTTTATAGTACTAATATTCCTCATTTACCTGACTAGGTGGTGCAGTCATCATCAATCTCTCATTTTGATGTTCTCTCTGAGAAATTAGAATAGAAATCTGATGTACAGAACGTTATTGAGAAAGAGGTGGCATTTCAGCTTAATTTTGAGATGTATTCTTCTGGATGAAGTTAAGATAAATTTTGCTTTTGTCAGGAAGACTTTTTTTTGTTTGTTTTAGTATTTCATGTTATTATAAGTTTAACTGTTAAGTACAAAATTTTAATGGACATAGTAAGATACATATTAATAAATCAGGGGGAGGTTGAGTTGTAAAAAAAAAAAAAGGGTCACTGTTGACTTCCTGTATATCTGAAAGGTTCATCATTAGACAGCACCTGGGCTGCGTTACGGAATTTAATTGCAAAATTTAATTGCAAAAGATTGGAAAGATTCCTTTGTTCATCCTATCAATCTAATAATAATAACGAGAAATCTTTCTTTGTTATTGGAGTGAGAATTTAGACCAAAAACTCATTGCCAAATTTTCTTTAAAACTGCCGGTTTTTAATTTGACAGCATTCTGGGTAGGACGACAAGTTGAAACTGTCTGTAGCAAGTTAGAAATCACTTGGATTTTTTGCAGAAATTAGTTCAAATTTATAAAGAGTTTAATATCCCAAATTCTGTTCTAAAATCAATAATGTTAATTTTGAAAGTCTTTCCTTAAGATTTCAAGATGTTTCATAATAAAAATGCTATTATATATTATGCACCAGTGCACTTAATGTACTGCTGGTCTTTCACTGGGACAAAAGTAAGCTAAGTGAAGGCAAAAGGTGAGACTTCAAATCTCTAGCTCAGTCTAGCTCTAAGAATAATATTAAAGTATGGCTAGTTAGGAATGTCTTGTCTTCTGTTTTGACCTCAGACGCATTTTTAGACTGGTAGTAGTTGTTCCTCTGATGCTTAAGGAAGCAGTTTGATTTTAATGGAAGTCTGAGTTCATTTGAAATGGGATTTAGTTAGCAGGGAAATGCACTCTATTTTCAAAATAGTTCTTCGTTGAACTAATTTCTAAAATTTTAGTCAATGTAATGAATGTGTTGTATATGGAAAGTAATCAAGGAAAACACTTTATAATGTCTTCCATATTTCTCACAGGTTGTGAAGATGAGAAAAGATGTGAAGAAGGCCAGAGTCCTCACTATTCGCAGACTAACCAGACACATCGGGAAGTTAAAATCGAAAAAGTCAGTTTTAAATAATTGTGGGTTTTTGTGGTTTATAAATGAGGCAGTATTTTAATTGTTTTCACCAAAGTGGAAAAATGGGAGAAAAATGTACTTCATTTAAAACTTAAGGCACTAAAACGCATAAATTCTATTTGTCTTATTTTTACGTCATTCTAGAATAAAAACACTAACTAAAAGAAGTTTCATATACAGAATTGGAATAAGTTTTTTTAATGGGATTCACTGTATTGGAAGGTAATCTGAATCAGTTACAGAACCTCTTACAGCACATCTGAAAGTGTCAGATTTCATGTTTTAGATTATTCTGCCATTGAATTTAAGTTGCACCAAGTTTTCTCACTGTAGTCGTCTTCAAGATTGTGTAGCAAAAATACTTTGCACAGAAAACAGGTCATTGATTTTTTTAGTAATTACCATTAATTCTTGTATGAACTGTTGAAACAGTATTTTGTAGATTATGTTTTTAAAGATTACTGGCCTGAATTACTTAGCATGCTAGAGATGGTATGAGATACATCTCTTACTGTGTTCATAGTGTAAATTGAGTATGATCTCGCAATTTTAGCAAGTTGTCCAAAATAAAAAGCAAGCCCAATGAACTTCTGTATTTATATATTGCAGATCTTAAAATGTAATTATATTTGAGACACTGGTATCACCTATTCTTGATTTGATTTGAAGTTTAATATTTTCTAATACAGTAACATTTGTTTTTCACATTGTTCTGTAAAATCTTCAGTGTTTCCTCTGCTATTCAGTACAGGAAAAGTATTGGGCTATGGTCAGCTCTTTGCTAAAATGTTCTTTTACCAATAATGGATTGTGTTTATGCACCATCTTCTCTTTTTTTTTATTTTGCTACTTTATTTCCTCTCTGGTGATACTATCTAAAGTGAGATTTTCTTAATAAATGTAGACTTCACTTGCAGGGGTTCAGAAGACTTCAAATTAAAGAACCAAAAACGAGTAGAGAGATTAATAGAAGAAATCCATGCCATGAAGGTAATGCCGTGTTTGCATAATTCAATATTAGAGATAATTATTTTCGTAGCTAAAAGCTTTGTCTGTTTTCTGCAGCTGCATTACTGGAACTTTTAAGTATTTTCAGAGTAAGCTTGAACATTTACACAGCCAACAAATAATGAGTATTTGCATTTGACAAGGTGTTAAACAATTTGAGTCTTAAACTTTCCAGGCTAAACATGAATTTGCTTAGCACTGTGTGGTGTTCAAAGTTTTTTCTGTAACAGTTAAAGCACAGAATTTAAAGTTCTTGTGCCGCTCAGGAGTATGGGGAGGCCCTTTGTGTGTCTGACAGTACAGTATCCTCTCTTTGCAGAACTGTCTGTTCTGCAAGCTTGAAATATCATGTCATTTGTATTTGGTTCTGTAATAGTTTAAAATTGTAGCTGCAAGGACTAGTTATGCTTGATCTTGTAATTTTCAGCCTTGCTGTTAATTGATACAGTGTTTGTATCTTATATGTCATGACATCAAGAAAATGGTTCAGAAATTTTATAACTCTATAATGATTTGTGCTAATCTCTCAATTTTAGTTGATACTACATAATTTTATGTGTGGTGAAATGAGTTATGAGTTCCAATTATAGAGCTTGAGCACAAGAGTCATGTATAGGTCACGACAAACAAAAAAATTTTCTCACAATATGGCTGTATTGATTGTTTCCTTGATAATGTAGTTGATAACTGTAGCGATTATATCACTCTTACTATTGTGTGTTATTCTGGGAGGTTTTTTGTTTGTTTTTAACATTTCTCTCTTTCTTTCCTCAACCTTGCAGAGATATTAGTCTTTAAAAAAAGCTAATGACCAGAAAGGCGTCCGTCATTGACCAATTTAGATATGCTTTGTGCCAGATTGATCAGGTAGAATCTAGCTTGATACTTCCAGTAAGAGTCTTCATAAACCAGTAAAGGGGAAAAGAAGACAGGCAGCACTGCTCAAACACCATGACAGTAATATTGAAGCACTCTGCATTACTGACTTCCCATCAGTCTTAAACTTGGTCTTGTATTTGCTCCTTTTCATCTCTCTCCTTTTTTTTTTTTTTCTAATTTTTTAAAATTATTTTTCTAATGCCAAGTATGTGTGTCTCAGTTTCTAAGAGAATGATCAAGTGGTCAGGTGTGCTGGAGCACTGAGCTCAGAAGCCCATGTTTTATGGGGCTTTTGTAAGTGCTCTTGAGAGGGTTTCACTGCAAGATTTGTTCTGCACGCATTTACCCAGAGTCTTTGTTTTGTCCATGTTGTGCTTTTCCTTCTAGGATTAGCTCATGGAGGCGTCTTAAAGCCTGCCTGCACTCAGGGCTGTATTGGCCAAATACATTCAAGTATTGCTTCAGTTAGCATGAATACGTACAGGGCTTGTAAGAGGTAGCTTTAAAAGTGGTTGTCAGGGGAGAGTAGATTTGTAATCGGGAGAGCTGAAGGCAAATTTTGCTCTGAAATAGTTTACAGAAATTAAGCCACTGAGAAGGAAAACCTCCTTCTTCTTGGGTAGATAACTAGTAAATGCACTTGGTTATCTGAAATTTTAGGTGGTTCAATTTGACTTTATTGTTAAAAACAATGCACCGTTATATTAATATTTAATAGGAAAGAGGTTGGTTACTTGGAGATTTTTAGACTTTAAGAATGCGGAAGTCGACACTTACTAGCACTACAGTGCTAGATGAAAGAAAAACTCCTGCTTCTTATGAATCAAAACCTAAAAGGCACTAGTTGTCTACATATTTTTTCAACACTGTTGATTTCTGGACTAACATAGATTTTTAGAGTTGGCATAGAAATACTCCTCATTCAGCATGGAAAAAGTAAAAAGGACAGCTTTCACACAAACTGGTAATGTTCTTTCAGATGAGTGGAAGATTTTACATTGGTGAAACCTCACTCCCAGCAATCTTTTGTCCTAAGTTATTGATCATAAGATTCATAAAAAACATCTTCACATAACTCAAATTATGAATTTGAGAATTTTAATGAAAGATTGGACACAGTAGGAATACAAAGTGATCTATAAAGTTGCAGTTTAGAGCAACTAAGGTTTGAGTTATTCTAGATTATTTTACCAGTTTTAGTGTGTGGATCTCAAACACATGCCAGATGAAATTAAAGATCCTTTCAAAATTGATGGACTGTGTGCAGAATATAGCAATTTTTCATGTTCTGTTAACACCAAGAAGTTGTCCATGAACTTCTCCTCACATGTTTTATGTAAGAAAAAATGTCTCTTCTCTCTTATTGAATGATTAGTCTTGAGGAGCTGCAAGCTTCAAAGAGCAGTTCAATTGAAAAGATAAAAAATCCAACAAAATAATTAAAGCAGCCAGAGTGATTTGGACCCAGAAAATGGATCTTGCACCAGAGTTCGATAGTGTCTGTATTTTCAGGATTAAAGATTTATTGAAGTGATAACTTACAACCTTTGGAAATTCTTTATTGGTTGGAGGCCTGTAGGCCTTCTGTAGGTTGAAGAAAGTAGTACAATCTCTCTTCCATGTTGCCAAAGTGTCATGGTTTGACACTGGCTAAGCATCAGGCACTCATGAGAAAAACTACTTGCTCATACTTCTCTGCTATAGTTGAGCAGAGGAGGGGGAAAGAAACTAGAGGACTCCTGACTTGAGATAAGGATTAGGAGAAGCACTCCAAGGGCAAAACAGGCTCAAAACTTAAAAGGTATAAAGAAAAATTCGTTAATAGCATTTAAAGAGGATAAGAACTAAAATAAACCTTTAGAACACATTTTTCTTCCCTTCAGCCTCTTCTTTCCCACTTACAGTGCAGGGAGCCAGGACGTGGGAGTTCTGGTCAGTTTTTCACTCAAAATCTTTCTTCAGTTTGCTTAGGGAGAGGAGTTTCTTCTGTTATGCCATTGGGTCCTTCCCACGGGAAGCAGTTTGCTTTTCCAACAAGTGAACTTTTCCAAAATGGTTTTAATTTTTCACGAGTAGCAGTCAGGCCCAGCCTGCATTAACATGAGTCTCTCCCATAGGCAAAATAGTCCTCGCAAACTAAATGGCATAGGTCATTTTAGTTCATGGGGTGTATGCAGTGTGTTGGTTTGAAAGTAAAACCAGTGCGAGACTCCAAGTCAGTAATAC